GGGCGCCCCGAACGCGCGCGGGGAGCCCCGGGACGCGCGGACCGGCTGGCCGGAGGAGCCGGCCCCGGAGACGCAGTTCAAGCGGCGCAGCTGCCAGATGGAGTTCGAGGAAGGCATGGTGGAAGGGCGCGCGCGGGGTGAGGAGCTGGCGGCCCTGGGCAAGCAGGCCAGCTTCTCGGGCAGCGTGGAGGTCATCGAGGTGTCCTGACGGCGGCGGGGACCTCTGACCTGCGCCCCCGGGCCCGCCGCAGCCGCCAGAGATGCAGATTATAGAGTACAGAGGAGGTAAAGGGTTGACCGCCATTTTTATCGAGAAGTAAATATTTCGATTTTTTATTTATTTAAGCTGTTCATTCTGGCAATGACTTGGCAACAAGGCAGGCGGTTCTCTATTTTTACTGTCCGGTATTTAAACTGAAACACAAGTTTCTAAGCAATATGAGGCCACCTGCAGCCACGAGCCGGGTGCCAGGTCCGGGGTCCACCCCGCCTCCACCCGCAGGAACACTGCTGACCATTGCCAGGGGGCTGCAGGGCTGCCGTGCACTTTTTACATAAAAAGGGGGGGGGATTTAAAACACAAACCATCGCCCTTCCTTGCCACAAACTGAGCCGCAGAAACCCCTGCCCTCCCTCTCCCACCCCACCCTTCTGCTCCCTTCCTGGGCTCCGCACCAAAGCCATAGGTGGGGGCTGGCCCCGGAGCCAGATGTGACCGAATAACCCAGAGAAAGCCTTTCCAGCCAGCTGCCCACCGCCCGCTTCAGGCCTAGTGCCTGGGGTACCTGGGGGTGCTGGCTGACAGGGCCAGCGTTTCCCTGGGCTTAGGGGATGGCAGGCTTGGCAGAGGGGTTTTGAGGGTCAGGTGAGACAGGTCCCGATGAGGGGTGGGGAGGGAAGGTCCCCCTCCCGCCTGAACGTGGGCTTCAGCAGCAGGTGCCTTCTCCCTCCTCCGCTGGCACCCTCCAGAGCCCCCACCAGGTGGGGACATGGAACAGTAGGAGTGGTCACAGTGGGGGCTGAAGCGCAGAAGCACCCAGGGCTGGCCTGCACCCAGTTTCCAGAGTGGGGAGGACCTTAGGGTCATGTTCTGTGCCCCCAACTCCAGGCCCTTGAGAAGGATATGGAATTGGGGTATACACCTGGGATTGGGATGGAGGGACCTTCATGAGGGGGTCTTGCTTTCTCCTGGGAATGGGAAGTTAGTGCCTGTGAGACCCTTATGTTTCTGGGAGTTGGGGTCTCAAGGCATCTAAGGACCTGTAACATGTAGAGGCAGGGGTGTCCCCATGTCTGTCCTAACCCCTGGGGCCTCAAGAAGGAAAGCCCTTAGCACACCCCCTTTTCAGGGCTCCCCCATTTCCAGGTTTTCCTCAGTATCTGCAGGTGATGTGCCAGTCACCCCCCCCAGGGTCTTTTAGTCCAGGGGCGCCAGCCAGGGGATGAGGGCAGGGGAGGTGGTTCAGCTCCCCCTGCCTCACATCCACTTGGGCCACTGAAGTCCAGGGCTTTAGAGGACAGGGGTCCCTGACTCCCATCCCTTCAGATGTCCTGGTTTGGGGGGCTGGTCACCTGGGGACCAGGGGCTGTGCAGTAGGGACAGCCTGGCAAGACTGAGTCCTGGGGCAGGGGGCGGGGCCCACCGAGCTGCCCCAGCCCTGCTGTTTCTTCTCTTTGTTCTTCTTTTGAACTAAGCCCTGTGTCCCTGTCCACAAAGCAAAAGTCCTGTCCCCTGTCCCACTCCTGCCCCCCAAGAAAATAAGCTATCATTGTTGTGTTTGCAATCTATGGATTAGAGGTTTAAGTATTTATTATTATTGGTTAATTATTATTATTAATTATGTAAGTGTACCCCTGTCTGTCTGTCGGTCGAGTTGGGTTTCTGAGGTGACCCTGGGTGTGGAGGATGCACTGGTCCCCCTCCTCGCCCCCCTCCCACACTGTCCAGGAGACAGTGGCCTGGGGCTCCTGGTTGGGCCCCCAAACTCAAGAGGCAGGGCCCCGGCCCCACTCCCTCTCTTCCCACCCCCTTTCTCCATGCTGCCAGTGTCCTGTGCCTCCCCTGAGAAGTTGGGGTCTCTCTAGGTCTGGTCTGTTTTGATTCTTGCCTTTAAGGCCTTGATCACCCTGAAAGAGCCTCTGAGATGAGGGAGATGGTCCAGCTAGCTGCACCAATGTCCCCCATGAGCTGAAGGAAGGGGACAGCCCCTCCCTCCGGATGCTGGCCCTCCTACCATGCAGGGCTGGAGAGCTGCTGGCCGAGCCTCTGCCCGTCCCCCCTTGGCCTGCTGTGTGCCCACCTGTCCTGGCCGGTAGGGGGACTTCCCCAGACTGGGTCTGTCCACCTGTGGTTTGCTGGGATGTCCAGCTGCGAAGAGAAGGCAGGTGGCTTGTCCTCCCCAACTTCTGCCTTGGGAGCTGGTTGTTCCCGCCCACTCCTGCCTCAGGCCCCTCCCCCAGCAAAGCCCTCCTTCCACTGCGCCCTGGCCCCTCCTTTTGTATTTGAAAACAATGTGTTGTAATAAATTCTGCCATGGATGTTTTTCCTGGACGCCCCTGGCCTCTTTCTTTCCGCAGGTGGAGGGTTATAACGAGTGAGGAACTTGGGGGTCTGGGGGACAGCCCTGAAGGCCTGCCGGGGCCAAGTGCCCCTGTGGGAGGGAGATCTGGGGGGCTTGCTGACTCACCGCCCTGGGCCAATCGCAGGCTCTCAGGGAGGCTGGAGAGGGCAAAGGCAATGGGGGGGAGGGGGCAGAGGCAGCGCAGCAGCGTGCAGCAGGGGAGGGCCGAGAGGGTGCTCTGGGGGAAGGCAAGGGCAGTGCTGGGGGAACCCTCCCTGGCAGACAGGGAGAGGTCAGCATTGCTCCAGGTGGGCCTGTCCTCAGGGGGGGACAGGACAGCATGACAGACCCACAGCCACAAGCCTAGAAGAGCTCAGACCCTGCCGTGGGGTGGCTTCTAACTCCAGCCTCCATCAGTTTCTCCCTGCGGCCACCTTGTAGCCTGGTGCTTTACAGATGGGGACGTTAGGGCTTAAGTACCTCCAGTCAGCCAGAAGCCCTTGCTGCAGAAGATCAGAGACTTCAGTCTTCAATATGGGTTGCAGTTCAGCATCAAGAAAACAAATCCTCACCACTGGACCGAGAGGCGGCAGCATAGCGGATGGAGAGGAGGCTGGGATTGTCAGTGGTTTCACTTTCCTCTGGTCTGTTCAACGCTCATGGGCAGAGCAGGTAAATCCAGAGGCTGCCTTGGGAAATCTGCTGTAAGGGATCTCTCCAGAGCTCTCAAGAGTAAGTTGAAGAGTAAAGGTGGCCCCATAAGGACTAAGATGTTGCTTTTCCAAGCCATGCTCTTTTTAGTTGCTCCCTGTACATCTGGACAGCGAGTAGAGATGGCCAAAGGAGACCTGCCTTCGCGCTGTGGTGGTGCAGAGTTCAGAGCACACCCCGCACCGCCCAGAGAGCAAACGCCTTCAAAAAGTGCAGTCAGAGTCCTCAGAGGCAAGGCTGGTGGGACTTGGTCTCACTGTGGGCCTATTCTCCAGAGGAACCAATCCTTGGAAAGAGGTACCATAATTGGGAAAGGGGAAGGAAGGGTCAGAGAAAGATGGATTGGTGTGGTGACCACCCCGAGGGCTGGAGCAGAAGGCAGGGCTCAGAACTGTTGCTCAGAGGGTCACGGTGAGTCAGTCCACTCGATGGCACCTCCGAAACGACTCCTGGCTGCCCCTTGGCCGTTTCCTGCACAGATGGAGACTGCCCTTCGTTCGCCTTGGGAGCCACCGGTCGATTCTGACCCCCAGAGAGGCGTGGTGTTTGTGGCTAACAGCACTACTCGCCACAGCCTACGTCACCAAGACCCTTTTAGAAGCACATACCACAAACACTTCATTCTACACACAGGTCACACCGCAGGGCCCTCCTGTGGAGTTGCCCACAGCAGTCTGCAGTTCAGCCATCTGGGAGGCAGGGGGTCTTGGGGGTGCGGTGGACGTCTGTCCGGCTGCTAACTGAAAGGTCAGCTTCCCTAGGTAGCCTACCTTGGAGCCCCGGTGGGCAGATGTCCTCTGTCCTGCCGGCTCTCTGTGGGTTGCAACCAGCTCTGTGGCAGTGGGTTTTGGGGTGATTGAAGGACATGCAGCATGAACAGCAAAAAGGTGTCTGCAGAAAGCAATGATTGTCTGCCCTCACTCCTCCGGCCCCCTGTCCCTCTCGCTTGAGGCCCTGACCCTTACTCCAGCCCTTTTCCCATGCTTAAAGAGTGACAGGCCCCAGCCGGTGCCCCTGCCCACAGCTCTGGTGCTGGGTCAGCCTAGCTGGTGGCACGAGTCCCCAAGGGTTTGGCCCACAGCTGGGACCTCTGTCGGAGAGCATGTTCAGACGTGGCTCTCTGGGCCCCTTGTCACAGCTGTGGCAGTGCATTGTGCGCTGAGCACTTGGTCAGCCGGCCTCTGAGTGGGCTCCCAGCTGGCCTCAGCCCCCAAGCCCTCCAGGGAAAGCAGGGGATCTGGCCCTTCCCAGAGTTCTGGTTATTCTCCGATCACAGTCCTCTCCCAAGGTCAGACATGCATGTGTATGAATGTGTGCATGTGTGTTTACACACAAGCACAGATGTATGTGAAGGTATGCACGGGTACATGTGTGCATGTGAACATGGACGAGTGGGTGGGTGTCTCAGGAGAAGAGGAAGCAGAAGAAAAGAGCCCCCCTTTGGGGGACTATGGGGGACCGGGGCCCATGAATCCCATACCCCAAACATCTTTAAAGAGGCCAAAAGCTAGAAGCATGGTCTCTGGCTCCAGCAAGGCTATTTTTAGCTCAAGAACATCTATTTATAACCCTGGCAGCCCCTTGGAGTCAATAAAACCAAGGACTGGAAAAACCACTTCCCAGTGCCTCATGCGGGCCTGACAGGGGAGACTGCTGGCAGTGTGGTCAGGGGGCGGTGTGCGGCGGGGAGGGGGGCTGGCGGGATGCTGACTCGGGCGGCTTACCCCGAGCATCTCATTGCTGGCTCGGCTCTTTCCCCGCTGCTCTGCAGAGGTTTCTGCTCCCCTGGGTCTCCCAAAGGCAGGCACCCTGCTTCTGCTTCTGCCTCTGTCTCCCAGCTTCTGGTCTTGGATGGATGGTTAAGAGGGTGAGTGGGTGGGGAGGGACAGGGACTGGTGGGTGGACTTCTGTGTGGCGATCTTTCACATGGCTGACT